AATGTCATCTTTGATCAAGATTAAATAAAAACTATTACTGGGGGTGCTTGTGCATGTAAAAAGGAAGCAAAATAGACTGGCCATTAGTCATAAGAGGTGAGTCACAAAGACAAAGCAAGGCTTCTGTGAAAGAAAATACCAGAAAGAGCACCTACCATGCAAGCCAAGCTCTCCCCGTCTTTAAGCAATTATCTCCCCAAGCCCCCAAAGCAATAAGTTAGGATAATATGCTTTTAAAAACAGTTTCCTGTTTTCTCTAGTACCTATTAGCCACCTGTTGCTAAAAGCCCAGAAGTTTTCAGAGTAGACCTTTTCAAGTTATCGTGAAAGCAGCTGTACATTTCTGATAGTGTTGAGGGTAAGAGTCTAAGCTCTCTAGAAAGTTCAATGTGATTGGACCAAAAAGAAAAGATACCATAGATGTCTACCTTTGTAACCACAGACTTAGAATAAATCATCTCACTTATCCTGTATCAATGTCATTATTAAATTCTCAAAAGTTATGTCTTTTTCTAGCCATATAGGTTTATATGGATAGGCTCTCAGCAGGTAAACAATAATGTCTTTCCAACTTGAGATGAATCTGGATTAAAACACAGCCTAGTATATTTCAATTTGTTCTTGTATTCAAGAGAACTGCCTCTAAATTTTTAATGACTTATGAAAGCCTTTAATATAAACAGAAGCCTGGTCCCAAAAAATCGTATTAGAAAAATGTTAATTCAAAACCAAAAGCCAAACCTCCTGGGAGTCAATCTCCACATAGGAGAAATGAAATGAGGTCCTGGGAAACACTGCGAATGAACCCTTAAGGAGCTTGCCCTGTGCCAGAGAGACTGGAGCTGAGGGTTATAGTACAGCATGGTACTACAGTATCAGAAGGTGTGCATCTCACAAACAGCTATGAAGACTGTCTCAACTGTGACACAGGCAACACATGAAGGAATAAAAATGGTCAACAGGGTCAACAGATCAAACCATCATTTGCCTATCAGATTAAAAGGCTAACCGTGCCCACTGCTGCAAGGAAGTAATAGCAAAGGGTCACTCTTATTCTGTTAGTGGATTATATTTCTGTAAAACAATGTGAAGAATTGGTCATTTAAAACTTCCTGTTTGGAGACAAATTCTACTGGCTTTGATGCATACATGAGTAAAATAGCTTCCTTAACCATGACTTGATAATACAAATTTCAGTTTTCTACAAACTATCCAAGAGCAATGTCTCATAGGAAGGTAACTAACACTACACACAGGGTGGATACTAGCCTTAGACATAGTATTTCAGTTAATCCCTCCAAAACTCAATGGAATCTCTATCCAATGGCAGGACCAGGATTCAAGCAGTTCTTAGCCCAGAGCCCTTGACCAATATCAGCCTCAGTGTTTTTGTCACCTGACAGAAAGATTTGAGATACAATGTAGATTTGTAAGTTTATCCTCCCTCTCTCACTTTTTCAGCAGAATTGTACCAGGTACCTTACACTGGACCTAAAAGAGGCCACAAAATAAATGCCCTGCCCTTAACAAACCATGATAGACATGAGCATGAGAACAAACAAAGTTGCAATATGATGACTGTGCCAACAGAAATAATTAAAAGGAATCATACTAGCCCCCAAAGAGGAGAGCAGTTAATTCTGTACTGAAGGAAAACTCATTGAGGAAGGCTCTAAGAAAGGAAGACAATGGAAGCTGGAGAGATGGCTCAGTGGACAAGAGCACTGACTGCTCTTGCAGAGAACTCAGGTTCAGTTCCCAGCAACCACATAGCCACTAACAACTGTAACTCCAGTTCCAAGCTAATGGCGCCCTCTTCTGGCCATCGCAAACATTGCACAACATGGATGCACTTAAATACATGCAGAGAACTCAAGACACATTAAAAAATAATAAAAAGAATTTTCTTAAAAAGGAAGACAATGCTTGACCAAGATTTTGAAGGATAAATTTAAAAAATAAAATATAAAAAGGGAGGGGAAGGAGACAGATAAGAGGAGATCCACTGCAGAGAAAGGGAATGGAGTATAAAGCAATAGAAAAATTGCAGCTAAGTCACCATGCTGACGAGCAGAGGATTAGCACCCATGCCACGCCACCCTCCTCCACCTCCATCACCAGCACCTTCCTCAACTACCACCACCATCACCGCCTGTCACTCTAGACACTGCAAAACAAGACAAGGAAACATCAAATCTTCTTCTGTCTTCAATCACATTTCCCAAAGAGACTGACTTCTCCAACCTTCCTTACAAACTGAGAGCAGGAACAGGAATGAACAACCTCCTTGGCCAATCGCTAGTCACAGGAGAAAAGCATCCACTGTATCCAAAACAGCTCAGCAGCAGCACTACCAACCACCTCATCCAGCACTTGGTTTTCTTCATGGCCTTTGTCACCACTGATATTACATGGTCTATTCATTCTTTCCTATCTCTATTATTCTTCTTCCTTATAAGAACCTTGTGCTCCACAAGGCATAAACTTCTCTGGGTTTATTCACACTGTATCTTGAACAGTGCCTGGTACAAACTTGCTGAATGAATGCACAATGCCATACCTCATTCTATACAGAATATTATTATTTTAAAATTTAAATCTCAAGCCAAGATAACATTTTGCTTCCATAAGAAATGCAATATTTTCTTTACTATTTAATACAGCTTCATGCTCAAATGAAATTTTCTAATGCTCTAAATAGCAGCCCTAACCCTCTCCCCATGTTTTCGCTTAAGCAAATGCTCGAAACAAAGCTTGCCTAAAAACAGCATCTAGAGAGTTTGATTCTGCTCTTTGCCCACCACATATTTCCTCGGAATATCTGTGAACCTAAGAGAACACGCTGGCAATTATGGAAACAGCATTATACCAACTACAAGTGAGTATGCGTTTCAAGGAAGGAATGGAAGGAAGCTATTTCAGGCCTAAGGAAAAAGCTCAAGTTCTGCTACCTCAAAAACATTGCTGGTAGAGGGGGGAAAGTGATGTTATTAGAAACACAGGTAACACATGACATCTAAACCATTTTTCTTAAATTAGTATTGCTGATGACAGCTAGGCCATCAAGAACAGCATTGTCACAACTGCATGTTAAATGAAGCGTTTGGGAAGGTAATTCCTCTAGCAATCTGTTTATCCAACTGGCCATTTCACTTTAGAGTTCTTTTGAGTCACCTACCAAAATCACATGTTTCACGCTGTTTAGGTCAAGATGGGATGATTTTTCTCTGGCGTTTTGGGCTAAAAAAGGCACAGGAAGCAAATGCCAGAAGTTGAGCTGTGCCATTACTGTCCTGATTAAAGTTTCTGACACAAATAGTAGATCAAGACCAAGAAGCAACTTCACAGGTTCAAATATTATTTTTTTAAAAAGACTCTTCTATGAATGCATTTCAAAACAAATGAAGGTTCAAAATATAACTCCCATACTGTCTTTGCCAAACCCATTTCTTAGCGTAAATGCCATATAAAATTACACAATGGATCCATGTTAGCCCTATTTATATGGGAATTACAAAAAGAAGTCTTTAAACCCCTCTAAGGATAAATATGTTTCTCTCAGCCAAGTGTTAATACCAGTAAATAGAGGATTTACATGTAATCTCTAAAAGCAGCAGAAATTACCAACCATGCCAGCACTTACTCATGAAGCATTTTATTTAATCCTACTAGTATAATAGGGCAATTTAAATGGTGCAATTTTTAAAATATCACATATAAATAAAAACATCATCCTTGATATTTTATAGTAAATTTTCCAGAACCGTATATTCAAACAAATATAATTTTTTCCGTATAATTACTAGAAATGACTAAATAAACATCTTTTCAATCAATACTAGCATTTCTCAAAAATAAAATACAACCAAATACTTTTTAAAGTGAAGTTATAAAGCTCTGTCCTTTCTACCTTTGTACAAAAGGACACTACACTAAGAAAACATGAATTTATTCATAAGTTATTCACAGTATCTTTAATAGGCTATGTGGTAAGATTCTTTTTGCTTGTATTACCACTCATTGGTGACCCAGCAACTGGATCATCTTCCTAGGATTCCATCAGCATCTGCCAATGAGATTTCTTTCTCTGGTAAATAATTCAAGACTTAATCAAAGAGAAAATGCATATTATTTTAAGCCATAAGTACCAATTTGTGATACATATTACTAGGTTATCAATATAACAGTTTAAAACAATGTTCCTTTAAGGAAAATGGATCATTTTATTCAACCTCTGTATTCTAAAAATACAACCAACTCTGTTCACACAGGAAGTCAAAGTGGGAATACATAAGGCCTCAACTGATCACAGGAAAATGGGAGAGCCATGAGACCAGAAACATGTCTGACAGACAATATTTATGATGAAGTTTAAGCAAGTGAAATCACTTAGGAAAAATGTCCAAATAGAAAACAAAATACTTTTTTGGAAGGCTCCAAGTTTCAAAAATTTGTTTTCACCTTTCAGTAATATTTTGGGCTGCCAAATACAGTCAAGGAGTTGATGACACTCAGATGCCACCAATACCCTGTGATAAGTCAGGAAGAACCTGCTTCATCTGGCTCAATACTACCCCTAAGGGGACCCCTTAACTTCCTATAACACAACCCCCAGAGTTAGGCAAAATTTTTTAAAATGAAACTTTTCACAAACCCACCAGCCAAACACAAATCACCTCCACTAGCACTTCTAATACAGTTAGAAATGACCACTAGGTAGAGCTTATTTTCTTGAAAACATTCTTCCTTTTTCTCCTTTTTCTTCTACTGACTTCCCATCTAAACATCTGATGCTGAGTTATCCAGACAGCACAAAAAGCATCTCCAAGAAACACCTTCCTGAAGCAGCTAAGCACAACACATTCTGGCAGCATCCTGGCGCACTCTGGGTAGAAGCACAACACCCTCACACAGGTGCGACCTGCCAGACCCGCTGCTGGCCGCCTGTGCAGGGATTCCCTGTGTGCAGTGCTGGGTGTCCCCTGGAAAACATCACTTACTGTGCCCGGCACGTGACTTCTCTCATTCTTCCCATTCTGAGAGCTGCCATTTTTGAGCTTCTTCTTCTTTTTGGCAGTTTCTCTGTGTTCTTTCTGTTTGTTCTGCACTTCAATCAGAACAGAAATAAAGCTGTTTTTCACTTCCTTCTCAAACTCTAGTTCATCTCTCAGGGCTAGCTGCTGTACCAGCTCCTCAGAGTACTCCTTAATCGCTGTCTCAATTTCTTCCAGGAGTTCATTTAGTTCAGATACTGGGAGCCTTTTCACTCCTAGGACCAGAAACAAAGTACAGCAGATATTAAGACAAGAGTTTCAAGGCAGCACAACAGGGTGCTTTATACCAAAGAGCAAAAATCAAAATCTAAGTAATTAAGCTGACTGCTTGGGATCCTCTCTGAAGTTAAAAAGACCTGGCTCTGCATAGAGCTGTGTAGGCAAAGTCACTCTACAGCTGGCTGAGATGAAAAGTCTAACACACATTTTTACCTTCGTAAATCAAGCACCCCAGAAACAGTACTACAGCCAAGATGGAAACAAAGCTGGTATAAGGCAGAGAACACACACACAGCAGAGGGAGGGACAGAAACGGCCTGCTGACAGGCAGCAGCGAGCAACCCTGGGACACTTCTAAAGAGAGAAGTCAGTTTGGAAGAATCGATACAAACACCTCCAATCATACATGCCCCACTTTGTGGATACTGCCGAAGATCAGGAAGATGAAAGGGGACAATATTCCCAGCAACCCCACTTCCGGTCTTCCTCAGCACGCTCCATCAAGGGAGAACTAGGGCATGGCTGAGGTCCTAATGTCTGTCCCTCACAATGCAACTGTGTGGGCTGGAGAGAAGTCTTTAGAAAGGTAACCAAATGACAATAAGTTTGTTGGGATGGCCCTTAATCCAGTGCAACTGCTGGCCTTAGAAGGCGAGCAGGACAGAGGACACAGAAGACACACAGAGACCCGGGGAGAAGACAGCCATTCCCGTCCACAAACCAAGGACAGGCCAGCCACAAACCAAAGTTGCCAACAGTCTGATCTCAGAATTCCAAGCCTACAAAACTCTGAGGAGGTAAGTTTGCACTGTCTAAGCCACCCAGTCTGGGGCGCTGTGAGAAAACAAGCACACATTTCTTTTGTCTTATCACATACCAAGACCCTATTTTTGGAATCAGGACTCCATTAATACTAAGCATTTATCTACAGTGCTATGGCCAAATCACACCAGCCCAAAGAATGTAGTCTTAGACCTTCTAGATGTTGAAAGGCAGCCAGGCAATTTGCATATTTAGGCAACGAAGCCTCAGGTTATCTATCTGGTCATGCCTCAAATATAAACCCAAGTCACAACAAGGATCCTGTCGCTGTCTATTAAAGAAGGGAGCCAGTCATGTGGCAATGATGAAGGTGCACTCAGCTACCAGACTCGGAGCATGCGCACAGACTCAGAGCATGCGCACAGACTCAGAGCATGCGCACAGACTCAGAGCATGCACAAGCAAGTTATGATTATTCAGAAACTTTTCATGACAACCAACCACACAGTTTTTACAGTTTGTTATCCTCATGTATAAGAACAGACTCGATCAATTTCAATTCCCCAAGTTCTCCAATGCCACATCAAAGACAATTAAAATCAGGGATACGGCTCAGCAGGTGAAGGTGAATGGTGCCAAGCCGGACAACCTGAATTCAGTCCCTAGGGTCCACAGATAGGAGACAAGAACTGAGTCTTGCAAATCTTCTGCCCACCACATGTGCACTGTGGCAAGCATGTTCTTGCATGTACACACGTACACACACACACACACACACAATAGGTGTAATAAAAAAGAAAACTATAAAGATAGGAATTATTTTCAATAAATACATATCTTGCTCTATATGGGCTAAACTTTCTTCCTGGCAAAATTCATTTTGAAGTCTTAATCCTTAGTACCTCAGAACATACCAATATTTAGAGACAGGGTATTTATAAAAGTAATTAAGTTAAGATAAAGTACAAGGCTGGTGGTCCCCAATCGAATATGACCTGTGTCTTATAAGAAGAGGAAATTTGGGCAAGATATCTATAGAAGGAAGGCTACGTAAGGAGACAGGGGAAAGAGGGCCATGCACAAGCAAGAGGGGCCTCAGGAGACAACAAAGTCGTTGCCCCTTAACATTGGCCCCGTAGCAGTCAGGAAATAAATATGGGCTGTTCCAGCCACCCAGTTTGCTTATAGAAGCCCTAGAAAATTAATCCAGAATTTGAAGGGGAAACAAAACAGCCCCTGAGGAAGGATCAAAGGACATCCAGAGAACTGTCTGCTCAGAAGACCTGCGAGAATCAAAGCTTTCTGGAGACAACCGGTTAGTCAGGTGTTAGATACGGACAAGGAGCACAGAGACAGGCGAAGGAGGGTCTCTTACTCTCTTCGTAGCTGCTCATGCTAGACCTCTTAAGAGTCTGGATCTCCTGGGAGAGCACTGAGAGCCGGTCTGACTGTGTAGGGGTTTCATCATCTTCTGGGTCTGGCGATTCCTGCATCATTTCTTCAATTTCTTCAATAACCTTCCAAAACACACATACAATTGTCAATCAAATGCAGTTTCAGAAAGCCCTGTCTGTGCTACAGCACTCACCAGAGGCCACCTGAGCAGAAGTGCACTGAATCTTCATTAACCAAAGTGTACAGGCGGCAGCACATTCTGAAGGCTCACCATTTTGATCATAAGAGCAAGCAAAGTTTATCAAAGGAAATTTACAACATATAAGCAGAGTTAAACCGAACACAACTTAGTAAGTCCATCCATCAGGGTTCAGTAGGCCCAACTACATCTTGAAATGTCTAAAAAACAGTGCTAAAATTTATTCTACACATGTATAAAACAAATCATAAAGTTATAGTTTTAAAAGACATAAGAGAAAATGTACCATATATAACATGCAAGCAGTCAAACTAAATATAACCTACATTTATTCAAAATTTCGACATAAAATTTGCAAAATTCATTAAAAAATTCATACATAGCAGGAAATTCTCTATCAGCAAAATATTCCTTTAGCAGCAAAAAAAGAATTTCATTTATTAACTCAATGAAAGGTAAAGGAATATTTTTAAATTGCCCAAAATATAGAAGCATAAAGAAGAAAAAGCTGCAAGAATCAGGAAGATTTGGGGCTGCAGAGATGGCTCATCAGTTAAGAGCACTGACTGCTCTTGCAGAGGACCTGGGTTCAATTCCCAGCACCCACATGTCAGCTAACAACCGTCCGTAACTCCAGTTCCAGGGAAGTTTCAATGCCCCATTCTGACCTCCTCAGGCACTGCACTACACAGGGGCACTTACGTAAATGCAGGCAATATACTCATACACATAAAATAAATAAAATCTTTTTAAAAAAGGAATCAGGAAGATTCCAGAAATGCACCTGCTTTTAATTAAACAAAGACCAATTGTGATATACAGTGACTCAAACCTTACAACCATATCTTGTCCTGCTCCAGATTCTAAAAGTGGAGATGAAGTACAGCTTTAAAGGAAAGGTGGAAGTTAATATATTTTTTTATTAAAGAGGATTTAAGAATTAAGAAAAAAATTGAAAACTACAATTCAATAAAGATGTGAAATACTATGAGTACATTTAACATGCTTTATGAGTCAGCAAAAATCACTCTGAAGAGGGATTATGCTAAATAGCAAGGCAATTTCCCCAAACGAGCACTGTAAACAGGCTACAGAATAGCCTATCATCTTTCTTTTTAAGCATCAGTTTTCCCTGCCTAGAACAGTCCAACCACAAGTGAAAGCAGGGACCTGCAAAAGGACACACTTTTAAGGTACATTTCCCAAAAACCTTGCCATAACCTGTCTCCTTACTGACCTCTTCTTTCCAGCCTAAAAATAAAATGTGACAGAATTCACAGCCCACATGGCCATGGAACATTTTATTTCAGGAAGAAAGTTCTGGCATCACTCTGACAATACAGCAGAGGTGGGAGGAGGAAGAGTACTCAGAAAATGAGAGAGCTGATTCGGGTGGTTTCAAATGAACACAAATTGACATTACTAGAGCCTTCCACAGAAACAATGCTCAGTTATGTGTAGGGTGCATAATAGGTACTTCTAATGTTTGCTAAAGATTCTTCTCCAGAGTTCTATAAAAATGGATATGAGAGGGCAGGGTATGGTGCCTCTCACCTTTAACCCCAGCACTTGGGAGATAGAGACAAGTGGATATTTCTATGAGCTTGAAGCCAGCCTGGGCTACATAGCATGTTCCAGGCCAGCTGTGGCCACACAGTGAGACTGCGTCTCAAAAAACAGAACAAACAGATGTAGATATAGTACAGTTTATCCATTTGGGGGTAAACTTGTAAGAAAAAATAGTAGGAAATTCCCTTTTTTTTTTAAGTTTTGACTTAAACAATAATCCTTCTCCTTTAGTAACTTCTACTAACAAAGCCTAGCCTGGAAATCTTCCATTCACAAGCTATCACCTTCCTTGGACAGCCTATCCCCTGCTTTATTTCTCCAAGGAGACTGAACTGTCAAACCTGTGTAACCACACAATCTAGGAAGCACAGTGAATTCTGACAAGCACCATTTACTGCCCTGGTGATACGGTTCTCAACTCTGGGTTCTGCTTCCCTGAAGCAAAGAACGTGACTCCATACCTGGTCTGCGGTGAAGAGGGGCTCCTCGTTAACGCAGGAGACTATGATTGAATGCATATCCAACTGTTCCCTCAGCTCTTCCTCATCTGAGGTGTCAAAAAGCAGGCTGTCACTCATCTAAAATTAAAAATATTCTCATTAAAAAAAGCAAGTCTTTCTGACAAAAACAAAGTCAAGGAGCTACCCCTTAAAAAAGGGAAAAGTCAGGGCTGGAGAGATGGTTCAGTGTCTTAATCACAAGAGGACTGGCTGCTCTTGCAGAAGACCTGTGTTCCATTCCCAGCACCCACATGGCAGCTAAGAACTGTCCATAACTCCAGTTCCAGGGGATCCAACACCCTCTTCTGACTTCCATGGGCATCTACACAACATGGGTGCACTTATATACATGCAGGCAATACACTCATACATATAAAGTAAAAATACATAAAATATTTATTTTTAAAAAAAGGAAAAATCACCAGTCATCCTAGAGCAGGCCAGGCAGCACATAACATTCTCACCCAGGGCAGTGAGCACAGTGGAGAACAGACTCGAAACTGACAAGGTACATGCATCCCTACAGTCTGATACAAACACACACTTAACTATTTTTCCAGATGAAACAGCTACAAGAGTATTATAAAAGTGGACATGTACAGAAAAACAAATCATTAGTGAATTGTAAGGGATGAGCATGAACAGAAGGTAGAAAAAGGCAGGTTTAGAAACAAATGTGTAGTTAACAAACTGGCACATGTTAACCTACCAAAACATAAAGGAAGATACCTATAAACTAATGTCTAATATTAAAATACTCAGAGTGAAAGGAAAGTAATCAACTCCCTGGCAGACAGGACCTGCCCATGAGCATCTCTATGTTCCAAAAAACATCTTTAAACCCAACCACGCTGGATAGCCTCCAATCACCTCAGCACTGTTTTCTACTGTGTTCTGTGCCCAGGAGGCTGACCATATGGCTCAGATCAAAGGATGCCCTTGACTTCTGGCTTCCAGTTGGGTTACACATCACTGGCAGACACCAGGAGGCTGCAAGGTGAGAAGAGGAGGGTGGGGCACTTTTCCTTTGCCTTCCTCCCTGCCAGAATGCCATTTGTCAGCTCTGGCTCTGGACCAAAGGCCACAGCTTTTGTCAAGCAGACCTCTCCCTCACAGCTAATCTCTCCCGGTTCTAGAAACTTCTCTCTCTCTCTTTACTTCTTCATGCCAGAGCTGGTAAAATGCCACTATCTGTTGCCATCTCCGGGTACTGTATCATGTCTTGTCAGTTTCTCTTAAGCCTACCCAATCCAATATAAACAGCCCCTTTACGAATGCTGAGTGTTTCATACCAATACAAATTGTAAAAGCTCCCTGAGAAACCAGCAGATTCAAGTAGTGATCACCTGCAGCTACCTAGCTGGGCATCAAGTATCTATTGTGACATGATTATTCTGGTAATGAACAGAACTAAAATTAGAGTTCTATCCTCCAACAAAAAGAGCACTCATTGAGTCCCCAGAGAATAAAGGGCATCAAGGACTATAAGAAGCAACATCATCATATTACATAGTATATAATTAAATTGACATGCTACGTTATATGAAAGGTCAAGCAACTGTAATCTGAAAATTTTACATTAAAAAAAAAGTTCAAAATCCAAATATCTCCAAATCAGAAACTTTTGAGAAGCAACATGATGCCCAAAGTCAAAAATTCTATTACCTCAATGTGGCAAGTTGTACGGAAAGCATAGGTATACCAAAAATATTGAACAACACTGCCTTCGGACTATGTGTATATGTGCATAAGGTATATACAAAACATAAATGTATTTCATGTTTACACCTGGGTTTCACCTCCATGTTATCTCATTGTGTATATATAAATATTCTTCAATATCCAAAAACCCAAAATCTGAAATATTCTAGTCCAAGCATTCTAGATAAGGAACACCCAACTTATTTCTAAGTATAATATATTTAGTATAATTAAATTAGTTCTAGGCAGACCTAGTAGCACAAGCCTATAATGCCAACTACTTAGAAGGCTAAGGCAGGAAGGAACAAGTTCCAGGCCTACCTGGATCACAAAGTCAGTTCAAGGCCAATCTAGGCAACTTAGTAGCACCCTATTTCACAACAAAACAGATACACAGTGGTAGAGGTAGCTCAGTGGTAGACCATTTATATACAGCATGCTGAAAGCCCTAGGTTCAGTCTCTAGTACTGCAGGATGAGGGGACATATCTGGAAAAACTTTTATTTACTAGTCCACAGGACATAGCTAAAATTCAGGATACAATGAAGTGGACACAGGTCTCCAGAGCCTTCCTGGTTCCTTACTCAGAGGTTTCTAGCATACGGGTGAATGTCAGCCAAAACAAAACCTGTAAATGAGAACGGTGAAGGAACCACTGGCACACTGATTTCCTGCTGGGACGCTGGGAAGGGCTGCACTAGCACTCCAGGTCTACCGGCCAGCATAGACTGCAAATCTCTGCTAAATCTCAGTGATAATGCACCTCCTACTTCTATTCTCACAACATCTTAGGCCTGACCATGGCATACAACACATCACCATGAACAACAAAAGAAAAAAAAGAACAGATTCCAGACAGAAAAGCAAACCATCACATTAGAAGTATTAAGAATTAACATAAGCTGGGCATGGTGGCCCAGGCCTTTAATCCCAGCACTTGGGAAGCAGAGGCTAGCCTGGTCTACATAGCGAGTACCAGGCCAGCCAGGGCTACAGGGAGAACCTGTCTCAAAAATACCAAAGAATAATAATAATAATAAATAATTAACACATCATTTGAATTTTCAACAGCAACAATAAATGCCAGAAAACAATCAATGTGTTTTTCCTGCTACAATAAAATCTGTTCTGGATTCTAATATTCAGCCAATCAAACAACTAGGAAGAAGCTGAAAATTAGACATTTTCAAACACATAGCACTCAAAGAAGTGACCTCTCCTGCACCCAACCTCAGATACCAACAGGAAAGTGAAAAGGAAGCAGTCTCAGGGACAGATGCAACCCAGAGTACAGGTGAGTCTCGTAATGAAAGAGGAAGTAGAAATCCCAGAAGGACTGGAAGCCTAACTGGAGAGGCGCTGGTTCACAAAACTACCACTGCACAGTCACCAAGAAAATCTCAAGAAAGATGAGCCTGCTAGCCTAGATCAGCATCTCTGAAACTTTCTACTGGCATCTTTTTATTTTGGGGGTCAGGGTCTCATTATATAGCCCTGTCTAGCCTGGAACTCAGTATGTAGACCAGCTGGCCTCAAACTCATAGAGATCAACCTGCCTCTGCCTCCCCAGACCTAGTATCAAGGGTGTGTGTGCAACATGACACCAGGCCAGCAACCCCTTTTAACCTAAGAAGTTTTCACATAGCGTTGGGTACATATCTATATGAAATAAGTATGTAAATCGAACATATACTGATAATAAATCATAAAGAAATTTACTTTAAAACAATTTTTGTTATACATGCAAGTTTTCCATTTGATAAAGATGAAAGCAAATTTATATACTGATGAGATAGCTGTGCTTATTTATTTTTACATAAAGAATTAAATCTTGGTTTAATATCTGATACTGAAGGACACAGAGCATCTTCAATACTTTTCAGAATCGATCAGCATTTTAACATTTTGATTTTATAGCCATCAATGCCAAGAGTGTCAAAAACTACTGGAAATTCTGTCCTAATCCCAAGCCAAAATTCACTGAAAGATTTTTTTTTTTAAGATTTTCTTTTTTTTTTTAATGTATGTGTTTTTGCTTGCATGTAAGCATACCACATGTGTGCTTGGTGCCAGTGCAGGTCAGAAGAGGATGTCTGATCCCCTGGAACTGGAGTTACAGATGATGGTTAGCCACCATATGGGTACTAGGAACTGAACCCAGGTCCTCTGCAAGAGCAGCCAAGTGCTTTTAACTGCTGAACCATTTCTCCAGCTCCCACTGAATTATTTTCAATGAAACTCAAGTTAGCAACTCAAACAAGAATTTTTAAAATCAAACATTCTAATACAATGCCATCAACAGATAACCTAGTTTTACACTGGCATGCTTCAGAATAACAAGAGGAAAACTTGAAGTCTTTGTTTTCTGTAATTAGACCATTAGTTTCTCTAAGAGCAGAAAACTGGGTGTGTACATGAAAAACACTGTAACTCACAGCACAGACTACTCTGGAATCTGAGGCAAGGTGCTTGGTGAGTGGTGCTCAGCCTAATAAGACATACAATGCAAAGTTCACCTGCCCTGTGTTCAGAATGGAGGCTACAGAGCATCACATGATGCAACATGAGTAAACACTGCCAGAAACACCTCGGATTCACTACACATTTGATTTGTAATTGAGTTTTAGTTGCTGGATGTTCAGAAATCATCTACTGTTGCCAAATTTCTTGCAATCTCCATGTTTAGTTACACAGTCCCATTTGGGATCCACAGTTGAAGAAGCTGAGGCTGAGCTAGTACATTCCGTTCTGAGGTTTGGTGAATGCACCATACACACACGCAAAACGTCAAGATGAACTTAGGGATCTGGCAAGATTACACTGGGAAGGTAGGGAAGGGAAAGTTTGTGTGAGGGTTAGAGAGTTGGAGGGTAGAGGACTGTAAGGGAGCTAACTTCATCCTCTGAGTAGAAAATTAATGCACAAAGTCTAACCATGCAGGTGCTGGAAATCAAACCAGGGTCCTCTCCAAGAGCAGCCAGTGCTCTTAATCACTGAGCCATCTCTCCTACCCCTTCTTTCTATCTTTCTAGTCTTAAAGATGTGAAGATGCGTTAGAAAACAGTCCCTCTTAAGCCAGGTATGCCTATGAGTCCAGCAAATGGGAGTTGGAAACAGAAGGCCCAGGAGTTCAAGTATATCCTCAAACTATGTACTAAGTTCAAGGCCAACCTGAGCTATGGGAGACCCCATCTTGGAAAAAAAAGAAAGGAAAAGAAGAGAACAGAGGGGGGGAGGGGAAGGGAGGAAAGGAGAGGAGAGGAAGAAAAGAAAGTCACTCTCTTGGAAGAAATACACACAGAGGGAGGAAGAAGACACACAGAGGTTCTAGGCCAGAATGAAACACATTCTCACATGCAAACAGTCATGAAGAACTCTGATTTAGAGCAGGTTCAAAACATGAGTAATGCCAGTAAACTATATTACTACATTCCCATGACAACAGAAATGACCCTGGATCATCTTTTCCAAGAAGGAACCAGGCCTACTCCCCCACAGAGATGGCATATGCCAGGGGCTGGAAGTGCCTCCACCAACCCTGGCTGGCACGGGCTTGTCATTCACATTCACTTGTCCATTAGGCATAATGTACCATGTTGCTGCCAAGCATTCCACTCCTTCCCATGCCTGGGTTACAGAGAGAACAGAGGGATTGCTCTCCCTGTTAAACTGCAGACAATGCAAACAGAACAAACATACCCGTGTAAAGATGTGGAACATACCAGTCACCTTACTCTAGAATGACCCAGCAAACATAGAACTGTGTCAAAACCTTCAATGCAAGAAAGCCAAACAACTGAAATCTAACACGCTGTTGTTTTCCAGAACATTTTTTTGTCTTAAAACAAACAAAACAATGTATTCTCTTATTCTCATGAGACTCCGTTTTATATGCGAGACAATCTAAGACTACCTCTAAACAGTGAATTTTGCATAGCTCAGTTATGAAAAGAATAGAGCATCCAACTGACAATGGTAAATAATACCACTTTCTCAGGTTAAAAAGTTTTGTAATTATATACCATCTAAGAGTACCATGGGGACTGGAGAGATGCCTCACTAGTTAGGAGCAATAGATGCTCTTGCAGGGGACCCAGGTTCAGTTCCCAGTACCCACGTGGCAGCTAACAACCATCCAAAACTCCAGTTCCAGGAGCCCCGATGCCCTCTTCTGGCCTCCATGGGCACTGCAGAACACAAGAGCACTTATATCCACGCAGGCAATATACTCAAACACATAAAAACAAATAAAAAAGAATGCCACGGCTGCTTTTATATAATTATTTTCCATTTGTTCTTAGGAACTCAGTGCATACTATAATCCTTTCTAAGGAACAGAGGTTTCAATTTTATTAACTGAGAATAGTTACAGCATGATACATGACTGAATGACCGATTATTGACTGATTGCTTATCACTTATCTATTTTAATCTGAGTTTTTCCAAGTAAAGCTTTTATAATCAGTACTTGTATTAAATGTCAAGTCTTTACCAATCATTAGCTTAGCTATAGCATTACTCTGGCATTAAAAACAGCATCAGGGACTAGAGAGACAGCTCAGAGGTTATGAATACTAGCTGCTCTTACAGAGGACCTGGGTACAGTTCCAGCACCCACATGGTGGCTAACCATCCCTAACTCCAGTTCCAGGGAACCTGACGCCTTCTTCTGGCCTCTGTGGGCACTGCATGACACGGGTGCACTTATACCCACGTAGACAAAACACTGATACACATAAAATTGAAATAAATTAAAAAATTTAAATCTGAAGGGTAACAAAAAGGAGTAAAGTTCAGTCTAAGAACAATACAATATTTTTATTTTATTTAATGAAATTAGATTAGCATGCCCAATTTACAGTGCTAATGTGCTTCCCTTTTGATGAAACTCTTTTATGCTACTCTTTTAACATGTCAAAAAGAAAAACATACTCATGGGTCCTTTAAATCAAAACACACACACACACACACACACACACACACACACACACACACACAAAGCAAAATGTCCACCACAATCTTCACAGTCTCACTCACGAGGGGTTGTTCACTCATTCACTCCACATACAGGTGACTTAGTACTTGCTGTGTGCCAGACAAGGTGGCAATCACTAGAGACCAACACAAAGACACCTGCCAGGAAGTCACAATCTCATGGCAGACTCAGATGTGTATATTAATAGGAAAGCATAGTGATGATTTGACAAAGACATGGGCACAGCACTGTAGGAACCTGCTCCTATGAGATGACAGGGCTGAACTCCATGGGGCAGAAAATAAATCCTTTAAAAGTTCACATCCCCACAAGGATCATTTCCACACGGAGGAGTGTGCTTTCCTTCCGTGAGAGGATTTAGGCCATGGTGAAGTGACCATCTGTCAGAGATGCTGTAGGTGGGGATTCCCCCCAAGTGAGAGGCTGGATTAAGTGTCTTTTAAAGTTCCTTCCAACTCTAAAATTGCATAATTCCATGAGATCAGTATAGGCTAAAACAGTAATAAGAAGCTTCAGAGAGGGAGGGGAATTTGGACAAAGCCCAAAATGATAGCCAGACCCTACATAAACAGGAGATGAAGCAAAACAATTCAGGAAATGTGCCAGGTCAATCTGCAAAGCTTAAAGGGGTTAACGAAAGGAAAAAATACCAAGACTCCATATCTACTAGAATCCTGGCAACAGGGTGGGAATTCTACATTCTACTAGAAAATGAAAGCAGCAGGTCTTTCCAAGTCACATATTCAAGAAAATCATGTTCATGAAACATTAACAATATTATTAAAATTTAACATACTGACAGCCCTACTGCATTATACTCCCAATAATCACATAATTACGCTTAATGAAATATAGAGTGTGCCAGCGGATCTGACCTGAGGTTATATTGTTCTCTACTGAGGAACAGTCTGAATCTGAAACTTCATAATTTGGCTTTGTTCCTCACCAACTTTAAACAAATGAATCCCATGGTGTATACTCCAATTCACTGTCTTCCCTCTTCTGGCCCCCTAGCCATCCTATCACTGTGTTCAGACTTGTTACACTAGGCATCCTCATCTGGCATTATCAAGATGGACACAGGGGCCTCAACTGGGTAAGCTGGCAAAGAACACATTAAACAGTCATAAATCGGGGACAGAGAGATGACTCAGTCTGTAAAGTCACATGTATGAGGACCTGAGTTCAGATCCATAGCACCCATATAAAATGCCCAGCTTGGCAGCACACATCTGTAATCCCAGCACTGGGCGGGGAGGGGGGTACAAGAGGATGCTTGGGGCTTGTGGTCAGCCAGCTCACCTGAATCAGTAAGCTCCAAGTTCAGTGAGAGACCCTGTCACAAAAAGTATGGTAGAGGGTGATTGAGCAAAACAGCTAATATCAACCTCTGGCTTCCAGATAGATGCCCATACATATATGCGTGCAATATGTGTGCATGTGCATACACATACATACACACACACATGTCAATGTCTTTTAATGGTTCTCCAGTAGCCCCAGGAACATGTGCCACACCCAGCATCATTAAATTACATACAATTAACTCCATGTTTCTATTCCAATACCCTCAATATACTAAATGAAAGGCTAAGAGTCTGAGTATTCCCAGCATCTCACAATTATGTTATATAAACAGAAAGAAATGGTGGACACTGGTGATAAAGCTTTAGTTAACCACACAAAAGTTAGGGTATGACGAGGAGGAGTGTGTCAGAAAAGTGACAAGTGGGACGAAGACAGTGAGAGAGGGCCAGTCCACCGCATCACTGTGAGACGAAGGGGTCACTCCGTGAATTAGTGCTAAGCAGAAACACCGGTTTCTCTTCCACTATCAGCAGCTGCTACACAGACACTCTTGGCCGAGCTCCTGACTTACCTCCTTCTCTGAGAGGTTCAGAGTCAACAAATGCAAGGTCCGTGTATGGGATGACTTCCAGTCTACAGGCATTACATGTCCGTAATTATCCGTGAGGGCATTCCAAATCCTTTAAAAGAAGAAAAACTGAATTTCTGAGCTACTTACTGGCTATGATACACAACAATGTCATATTTTTTAAAAGTTAAAAATCATAGCAGGTATCTAACTGCAAATAAGCTATGAAATGTTTAGATAAGCCTTTTTTTTTGCAAGTATTGAACAATTAGGATACAAAAGTAATCCTAGCAGGGGCACAAACAGCAATATGAGTTTAAGAGGGGAAAAGCAACATACTTAATGAACAAGGATTTGATGTTAAAGAACAGAAGCTGCCGAAAGTACGTAACATCCCAAGGGATGTGTGGCTTCCAAGCCCTCATCAGCTTCAATGGAAACACAACCCAAAACTGGCTCTTTCACCCCACAGATCTCCCAGGTGCATGGTGCACTCAGCTTTTCTCTGTGTTGGAACCTGATGCTCTCCTATGTCAATCACCTGGGGTTAGAGGCAAGGCATCTGATAGCTACTTGCCGAGTTTGACCACTTTGGATCACAACTCGTCAAATATTGACAACTGACTGCATATCTAACCCTGGCAAAGGACAGAGTAGAATATTCTAGTAGGTGAGAAGTTCTGAGTTTGGAGGAGTTGTTTTGTCTATTGTCAGCTCTGTCTTAAATGAGGCTGTAAGATATAGACATGGAGTGGTGCAGTTCTCCTGGAAGGGGTGGCTGTGGGTGAGTATGATCTTCCAAGAAAACAGGACAATTAACAGCCCTTTCTCTCTGCCAAGGATAAAACAACTGTAGTTGGAAGGACACAGCACCAACTTCAGTCAAAGATTTCCAGAATTCTCTAGTCAAGACATCTGAACTGCCTTCATCCTTATCATAGAGTATTACAACCAGTCATAAACAATTAGCAGGAGAGCTCCTTCCCAAGGTCAAAGTCCTGCCAACAGTGGATTCTGGGGACACTCTCCTAAGGCCCTCTGTAGATAAGTACAAGCCATATTGACACAAACTGAAACCAAAGCTCAGGGAAGCTAAGTAAAAGGCCCTATATCAAGACACTATGTGGGTAAAGGAATTCTCTTAAGGGCGGAAGGGGCTAGAATGAACCCTATAAAGCAGGTTTATACAGTGGAGAGGGGACAAAGACAGAGGTGAGCCCTAGTTCTTGAGACTTTTTTTTTACACATTCCAAAATCAAGAGATATATACTCCTGCCAACAAGCCACCTACTAAAACAATTATCAAGAACAACGGGATAAAGGCTGTAGTTCAATTGCTACAGGATTTATAAGCCCTGAGTTCAAACCCCAGCACCACATAATACTGGATGCATACCTGTAATCTCAGTACAAGAGGCAGAAGCAGGAGAATAGGGAGTTCAACGCCATCCTCATCTACATAATGAGTTTGAGGCCAGCCTCAGCTACATGAGGCTCTCTATCCAAGAAAAAAAAAAGGCACAAAATAAAGCCAGGCATAGCAAGTTTAAGGCCAACCTGGGTTACATGAGACACTATCTAAAAGAAAGGAAGAGATAAAGAAAAAGCAACAAAATATTTCAAATTTAAAAACCTACATTTGAAGCAAAAGCTAAAATAAACTTTCCAGAATGTCCAGCTAAAGCAAAAATAGATCTTCTGAGAATCTTGGTACAAGCCATTCATCTGTTTTAAGTTACTCATAATTTTTAAATCCAGAATGTGTGTTAAGTTTTAGTGAGTCAAAGTATATAAATGTACACACATATAAAGCTACCTTCTCTGGGAAATTACTTTCATAAATGTCACCTTTTGTTACTGACAACATGCCTATCCTGTGCTTATAAAATCCAATCATAAACACCCCTCCTCTGTCCCTGGCCAAAAGAAACCACAAAAAGGGATGGCCTCCAAACACAGCTACCCAGCCATGTTTACAGATGCTCGCTCTCCATCTTTCCAAGCTTCATGCTTTTTTCTTGATAAATCTCCTGCTACCCTGAGAAAAGGAAAGCTCTTCTACAATATGAATCTTTTCACCTCTGAAGAATTCCTCTCCACCAGCCAGCAAGATGCCTTGGTAGGCAAAGGTGCCAGCCACAAAGTGGAATGACTTGAGTTCAATTCCCAGGACCTACATCATGGAAGAAGTTGGAGAATGGACTCCTGCAAATTGTGTTCCTCCACACGTGTGCCATGGAGCCAGTGCCCACACATGGGCACACTAAATAAAATGCAATAAAAAAATGTCTTTAAGCAACTCTTCCCCACTAACTCCAAGTCTCCCCACCCTCTGATGCTTCTGATACCTATCACCCATCTGAGAGCACTCTGTTCACTTTCAGCCGCTCAGGTCTCCTCTCCCTACAAACACAAAATGATCCAGGTCCCTGGCTCTAACTATTCCTTTTAGCAACAATGGTACATAATTACAACCTTCCTTTAACCAAATTATAACTGAGACCCAAGGTGGTTAAATAAAGTGCTCTCATAAATCCCTATGAATTTTCTCATTGAAACTGGTGGCAGGTGAGTCTGTGATCTTGCTGGTTTGTGCTCTGGTCTTGCCGCTATCCTCGCCATTAGTAACTGGAGCCCTTCGTTTTCTGCCTCTGTGGTAGCTTGCTCTTAGTGGCATAGATGCTGTGGCATAGATGCTGCTCACAGGCTGGTACCTCCTCACATGCTATATTCTGACCTAAACTCCCAGACCTCCATCAGGATTCAATGTGCGGGCTGTTTTCTCTATAGTCTTCCCCCAGGCATCCCCTTGTACAAATATGTTATTAAAGCACTTATCACACCCATAAAACGTGTTAACAAGCCAATGTCCCATCCTATTTTGCACCCCACTTGAGAGGGGCAATGCCCACTTTGGTATGCCCAGTGAAAAACACTTGGCAAGGGCTTAAGTTGAATGAATGAATGAATGAATGAATGAATGAATGAATGAACGGAGGACGGACGGACGGGTGGATGGCCCCGCGTGCCCCAGGAGGCAGGGTCTCATACAGAGGGCCCCTGGAGAGTGTTGAGATGCACCCCAGGATCTGCAGGGGGACGGAGGCGGGACAGCGGACATTTAAACTCTGGCGCTCGGCCTCTGCCCAAGGCGGGGCTGATGGCCGCGGAGGCGGAAGGAGAGCGCGGGGCGGGGCCTCGCGGAGTCCCGGGGCGCGGGCGGGCGGGGGCAGGGCAAGGCAGGGGCCGCTCCCGCCCACCCCGGGGCCCACACTCACTCGTCCCCCTGCAGGAGGCTGCGCTCGGTGATGGGCTGCACGGCCGCCGGCGGAGGCTCGTCGTCCGGCCCCGAGGGGCGGAAGCATAGGCTCAGCTTCTCCTCCAGGCTGCAGGCCAGCGCCGAGAAGCCGTCACCACCCGCGCCCGCCCCCGCTCCGGCCTCGGCGCTCGCGTTACAGTTCTCCTGGTCCTGCAGGGTCCGGGCGGGCTCCTGGAACTCATAGAAATCCTGCCAGTCTCCGTCCGCCGCCATCGCGCCGGGTGCTGGCGCCCGCCCCGCCCCGCCAGGCAGGCAAGCCCCGCCCCGTCGCCACCAGGCCACGCCCTGGGAACCGCCCCCAGATGCCACGCCCGCGCTCGTCCAGGCCCAGCGGGCTAGGGGTGGGCGGGTCCGAGGCTGCCCTCCATGTCTTCCCGTTCCAGGACTTGATTGGGAGTACCCAGAGAAAGAAAGATCTTAACTGAGTTGACTCACTTCCTCTATTCTTTATCATTTAGGAATAACTTCCCTCTTAGCTTCCCTTCCTAGTCCACTACCTAAAAGTGGCTAAAATGAAGGACTTTAAACTTGCAACCGACCTAGTGTCAGATTTTTGCCCAAAGGCGTTTGTAACTCTCATAACTATCCAATTAGAATGACAGGATTATAGGGAAATGTTTAAGTGGTATAGAAATTCATTGCGCAATTTTTTTTTATCTCTCCGTCGTACAAAGCACATGCTAGCTGAATGATTGAGTGATATTTGCAAAGTACTTAGAAAATGCCTGACACTTGGAAAAGGCCTGACAGAAATACCTATGTGCATGTTATACAAGTCAACACGAGGGCACTCCCTTCGGGGGGACTCACTACTGAAGCTGGAGAGTTAAGATAAGGGGAAATTAAATCTTGTGACAAATATGGTTGATGGATGGGATAGAGCCTCTCCATTTCCCGAGATGAAAAGGTTTATGGAGATAGATAGTAGTTATGGTTGTACTCATGAATGTGTTTAATGCCATTAAACTGAACATGAAGATGGCCAGGATTATAATTTTGTTCTGTGTATGTTATAATAAAAATTGAGAAGGAAAGTAAGTAGAAGCAATAAATGTCCAGGAGCTGATAGAACCAATATGTCTTCAAAATTGCCATTCGAGGAGAAATGTAAGTAAATAATAAGCTCTTATTTTGAAAGACAATCTAAAATTAGGAATTAAGACTTTTCCCAGTAAACTTTATCTTTTGGCTAAGTAAAAGCCATCTTCAAGAAGGCATGTTAATACCAAAATTTCCCTATTTACTATTCCCATGAGTTTTGTCTGTTTCAATGATTTATCCCATATTAAGCAAACACTTATCATTGAGCCTAAGAATCTGTTACTGTTAATAAATACTTTTTTTTTTTTTTTTTGGTTTTTTTGAGACAGGGTCTCCCTGTAGCCCCAGCTGTCCTGGAACTCACTATGTAGACCAGACTGGCCTTGAACTCACAGAGATCCCCCTGCCTCTGCCTCCTCAGTGCTGGGATTAAAGGTGTGTGCCACCACGCCCAGCCCCAATAAATACTTTTAAAGCAACATTGTTCTCTCTTTCCTTTGAAATCATAATGGAAGCAGAAGTTGAGCTTTACAAGGAAACTACTGGACTGTCTCAAACTCTCCAATTTTCTATATACAGCTAAGGCAAAATCTTTTTCCTGTCCCTTGCCTGACACTTCCCTTTACCTGCATGGGGTGTGTGTGTGTGTGTGTGTGTGTGTGTATGAAAATTACTTCTCTTAGAACACAAACATAGTACCAGCAATTTTTTTTGTTTATAAATTAATTGCCATTGGGTTAGCTCTAGAAATCTCAGTTTTACATGAGTCAGATTTTCCACACAGGATATGTTTTACTTTTAATTAAATGCAAATTACATTGTATCACCCTAGACACCTTGAATACTTCATTTAGAAAACAAGATCTGAATCACTTTTCTTAGTCAGTTTGCTTGCATACCCACAGTAACCTTAGCATTCAACACAATTTATGAAAAATGCTCCCAAGAAATTATTTTGTTACTTTATAGGACCAAAGTAATGAATTTAGGATAAAAAAAAATAGTGTGGAACAAAATGTTAATTTTTGCTTTTGTAGATTTTAACTAGTTACTGTAAGCATGAAAAAGTAATAGCAAAGAAGGGTTTAAAAGGAGGAATGCTAGACCAGGCGTAGGGACGCACGCCTTTAATCCCAGCACTCTGGAGGCAGAGGCAGAGGCAGGTGGATCTCTGTGAGTTCAAGGCCAGCCTGGTCTACATAGCAGGTTCCAGGCCAGCTGGGGCTACAAGGAGACCCTGTCTCAAAAAGACCAAACTATCGCAGTATTTCCCCTTCATGTCTTCCATGCATCTCTCTTGACAGGTGGATCTGGGAATTCATGTTACTCCACAGCCTTACAGCCATTCACTAGAGCCTAGCTTCTTACACTGTAGGTCACAACCCAAATGTGTAAATCACCAAAAAAAAAAAAAAAAAAACAGTAAAAGGTTTCTGAACTTAGGACAACCAAAAATCAATTCACTTTAAAACATATAATGAATTGGAGGCAGTCCCAGCCCATGTTGCATCACAGGATTTCACTGCAGCCTTGGTTCTGAATGCACAGTAAGTGCCCTTCGCACATTGCACATGCCCTCATGCCCCACAGTCCTGCTTGAAACACCTCCACTCAGATTAGAAGCTCTTGGATGTGATGAATTGCATTGTTTTTACTGTACGTATGAAGTATTCTGCCTTATAGAAACAATGATCTGATATGATAAACAAAAACTTTTAATATAATGCCATCATTCCTCAGTATATAAATATCAAGTTAGTATAACTTTGAATTGGATTGGAATGCTTGTTTTTTTTTTAAAAAAAAAAAACTGCTTTTTGAGTTGCTGACTTGAGTTTCATTTTTTTTTAAAAAAAAAAAATCACTAAATGAATTTTGGCTTGGGAGAAAGACAGAATTTCCAACAATATCTGAAACGAAATGACCCTAAGCATTTCTACCATTTTTTGTACATATTTATGTGATGCTCTCAGGGCTGCCAATCATAAAGTTAAACTATTAATAAGCTCTCAACAGTGTTGAAGATGCTGTGTCCTACAGTATCAAATATTCAGCCAAGGGCTGGAGAGATGGCTCAGCAGTTAAGAGCACTGACTGCTCTTGCAGAGGACCCAGGTTTGATTCCCAGCCCCCATATGGTGGCTACGAACCATCCTTAACTGTAGTTCCAAGGGAATCTAATGCCCTCTTCTGACCTCCGCAGCATTGCATGACACAGGTGCACTCACATACATGCAGGCAATACACTCATACAGATAAAATAAAAATAATAAAAAAAATTCAGCCAAGATTTCATTGTTTCTATAAAAATAAAAAAGTACCTCCATCTCATTAGTATCTAAATTTGTTTTCATATACATTTGTTAACATATAATTATATGCATGTTAAAGCATTGTTTTAAAATGAATTTCTTTATGATTTATTATCTGTAAATATTTTATTCATATGCCTATTTTGTATATCTAGACTCACATAAAAATGTCTTGGACCAAAAAGGGGCCATGCATAGATAGAGTAAAAGAAGCCATCCAATAGGAGACCCAAGTTTGCCTAAGCTGTGGCCCTATCCCTGATACTTGGTAATATGCTAACTTAAATCACTGAACATAGAAAACTTACCTCTCTGATTTTACAGTGTATTTAAAATTCGCACATATCACATATCCCAGTGGAAATTAAAATTTAAAAATGGAAAAGTAGATTATTCAGCATGTAAGTCACCTAGACATACAATTAATCTAGAAATATAAAAGTACAAAAGAAAGGAATCACTAAACATAAGACCAGAATATATCTGGCTGTCAAAATAATCATGTTTAACAAATGATGAAAGCTCTTAAAGCAACAAGTGAGGAGATACATTTGAAAAGATATATATGAAAATCTCTAGTGAAAGACATAGATAATGGCTAAGTTTATTCAGTAGTTACAAAAAGAGAGACAGGCAGAGAAACCGAGAATGAAACAAAAGTAAAATGAGTTTAGAAATCTATACTGATCCATGGTTTTACAGAAAATTTGTTTGCTTGTCAAGAAAGGAAATAGTCCCTTCTTTCCATTTATTTTCCTGTTTAAAAGGAAAAAAAAACTTTTGAATAATCAAAGACCACACAGAAAGAAATCATAATGTTTAAGGAGATGGAAATGCTAATCACCCTGATTTGATCATCATGAATTGCAGGCATTTATCAAGTGACCACATAAATAAACAAGTATTATATGTCAATTAAAACCAAAAAAGACCACACACAATCTAGCATTTGTTAATAAAGAATATTTCATTCTAATTACTCAAATTTGATTGAGGTGAATCTTTAATGAAGAACTACATATGCCATTTTAATGATTAAATCGGGGTCTTTATTAAACCTGAGCAGTAGCAAGAGAAAGAGCTCAGGTGACAGGCCTTGGACAGGTGCCTGAGCAGCCATAGGGAGGCTTCTCCAAGCTGGTGCCTTAAGTGTGTTCTGTGAGGTCAAATGCTTGTCTCTGAAAGATAACTGCAGCAGTTCTTTATCTAACATTAAAATTTCTTAACTCATGAGTCTGGAGAGATGGTTCAATGATTAAGAGCACTGGCTGCTCTTGCAGATGAGCTAAGTTTGATCCCCAGCACCCACATGGCGACTAACAACTGTCCATAGCTCCAGTTCCAGGAGATCCAACACCCTCTTCTGACCTCCAAAGGCATTGCACAACTGGAGTGCACTTACACACATGCAGATAATACATTCATACACATAAAATAAAAATAATAAATAAAATATTTTTTAAATGTCTTAACTCCAGCAACTCTCCTATTTTATCCCTAAGTAAATCTGTATTTTAGGCTATCTTATTTAAATTAACTTTACTGGAAAATAATGCCTTATTAAAATAGACTGTTGTCATCAGAGAACTTGAGTTTTCAGTGAGGCACTGGAGGCACTGAGAAGAAACTCAGTGGAGATGGGACATCGCTTTAGCCCATGCAGAAAGAAAAGATGCCAACCTTCAAGACACTGAGTAAGCCCACTTCCCATTCAGTTAGGGGAAGGGTGGGAATAAGTGTCTTCTAAACTGTATTGAATTCAATGACTAACAGTCAGTGACATTTGAGTAAGTGAAAGGGGAGGTCTAGAATCAAGGAGGCATCAAAGGAGGTGGCAACAGGTTTTTATGTTGTTGTTGTTGTTGTTGTTTGTCTTTTTGAGACAGGGTCTCCCTGTAGCCCCAGCTGTCCTGGAACTCACTATGTAG